CCATTCTAGATAGGCTAGTGTGTCATCTGATATGCACGTAAATCCCTCCAATCACAACACTTGGCCTATCTCATGTTTGTTATATACTTTTGCATGTTTATGACTTTGCACATTAGTATGCCAGGTAATGAATGCATGTAATATTGCATAGTTATTCTCGTGGCACTGAGCTTGTTATATTATGATATTTTTTGGAAATGAAAATGATTTGATTTATATTATGATGTTTTCCTAATATTTTATTAAACGGAATTTGAATGATTTCGGGTATGAATTGCTCATTGTACTGTTATATGATATTTTAAAATATTTATATCTTTGTATACCTTTGATAAATGAATGATATGTGATTTTAATGAAAATGCTTATTTTAGGTACACTGAGAGTATTTGGTATAGTTGGCATTACATAGAGGTGGGGTATTAGTTCTTGCATTATGGACATAGTATGACGTGATTTCGGTACTACTGTATGCAGTTGCATCGAGTACATAGTCGATGTGATTTTGAACTATTTTTCTCTTGAGAATACAATACATAATACAATGTGATTTTGGTATTATGGTATTGTTTTATTATTGGTACATCAATACTGTGTTTATAGTGTCTATGCGTCTGTTTGGCACTAAAAGTGCAAATTGTGTATATTCGTCTGACACGTATACATCACATTCTCATATATTTACATTGGGCTATGATTTGAATGAAAATTGAAAAATACAAGTTTAATTAATTCGATTGAAAGTAAATCTTTCGTCGAATAATCCAGTTGGGCATTAAACACTTTATATATGCACTATTGATTTTCAAGTTATATTTATAAGAAAGTAACTATGATAGAAGTTAGTTTTACACTATCATATATTATTATATGATATTATCCATACTATGTTATATGTTTTATTATTATTATTATTATTATTATTATTATTATATATTTATATTTTGATATACTTTACTTTAAAGTTATGGAAAATGCATCACTAAGTATATACTTAGCGTGTATGATTTTTCACGCGAAGGTTAAAGTCGTAGAGTGGAGTATGAGGTAATTTGGCATCTTCTAGTGAGGACTATATATCCAGTATCAATAATGACACCTTTCTGATGTTTTTAATTTTCTAGTTGGCATGTATATAATATATGTTAATGATATTTGTGTATGACTAAGTTTCAAATGGATTTGTAATAGTATATGTTGGTTTTACTATAAAAAATGGATTGCATGTTAATACTTTCATAAAACTAGTTTAAACTGACTTTAAGATAAATTTTAGTTTAAGCAGTTTCACTTATTATATGTTATAGTTATGAACTGCAAGGTTGTTGCTTGAAAATAGTTTAGAATTGATTGTTAAAAGTTTTGAATTTGGTTTTTCCATAATTAATTGGTTTATGGTTTGTTTAAAAGGAACAAAATTTTACTGATCTCTCATAAAAAAATATTTTAAAGTCCATGTGGCATCTTTGACTCGTATTTGATAAAAGATACGAGAAAAGGATGTTCCACCCTACATGTAGTATTGATACTCCCTTGAGTATCAGTACAAAAAACATCTTCGAAGTGCCAAAATTACCAAATATCTATATTGACACCCTCAGTATCGATACTCCGCCTTATAGTATCGATACCCCCATAAAATGCCCAAAACTATCATAGTTCATCTAGTATCGATACTATTCATCTAGTATCGATACTCAAACCTAGAAATTTCTCATTTAAGCTCGAAAACGCTCAAAAATCCTCCCAAACAATCTAGTTTGGTCTGAAATCAAATTCTAAAGATTAGTAAATTTATCCAGGGTCATTTAGCACTATAAAACACTATTTTTACACCAAAAACGTCATCTAAGCGTGAATCAAGCAAAAACTCTCAAACATGCTCAAATACCCAAATCCCCATCAAACATCGTGATTATGGAAGTCATAACACCGCAAAGGATTAGAAATATACTACATTAGCTAGAGAATCCAAAATAAAGCTCCTTTAGCTCAACCACACTTACTCACCGTCTCCTTGGACCTAGGATGCTCGCCACCCACTTCCTCTAGCCAAAACATGAAAAAAGTTGTTGAATCGCAAAAAAATGTTGTTGGAACAATTAACGAAGAATTTTAAGCTAAAGGGAGCATGAAAGATACTTAAAGAACCTATCTCAATCTAGGGAGCTTAAGGAAGGAAGGAAGAAAAAATTGATGAAAGAATAGATGAAGAGAATAAATAAAAGCTCTCTAACTTTTGTTCCCAAAGCTCACTCTCAAACATGTGATAAAATTCCAAGGAATCAACCTTATTTTTATAAATGAGATAATTACACTTTTGGTCCCCTCTTATTCTATCATTTATGTAAAAATCCCCCTTTTAAGACCAATTGGGCACTATTTACTTTTAATTAAGCTCACATTCAGCCCAAAGACTTCAATTATAAACTCCACATGGTCTATATACCTCTCGAGTCAACCCAAAACTATTAAACTGAAATTTGAGATGTTATTGATACCTTTAACTCTTAAATCCGACATTAATAAAAAAAAACAAAGATTAACAATCTAGTTCTACCTATATAAACTACCAACAATAGGTTTTTTTTAATCATGGAGTTAAACTACATCTTTGGTTCATAGGATTTTATTTTAAAATAAAACATTTTAAAGGCATATTTTATTAAATGCGATTTTTATTGTCATTTGTTAGGTAGATAGAATGCATTCTTTTAGAAAACGCTTTTAAGTACATTTAATGTAGAATATTTTTGTCTTATATTGCATAATGTTACATAAAAAATATCAATTTGGAAAATAAATCGAAATGGGTGTTATTTTAAATATTAAAATTTTATAGTGATATTCAATAAAAATCCAAGAATAAAATATTAACCCTTATTTTAGGGTTTAGCTTAACTTGAATTTTTGGGCAAGAGACCCAGCGGGTAGATTTTGGTTGTCCGACAATCTCACGTCTCTTCTTTGTCTTTTCTCATGCATTTAATTTTATTTAAAAACTTCATTTGCTTTATTTATATAATTCGATTTCCCCTATCAAATTCGTCATCTACAATTAATTATCGTGTTAATTATGAAGATAATTAAATAGGTTTTGTCTTTCCTTTTGTTTTCAATCGGATCATGTTTCTCTAAAATTTCAAAAATATTGAAATTAGGATTTATAACTTACAAACTCATTAATTACCCAAAAGATCCAAAAATTGTATATATTTCATATTAATATTTATATATCTTTAATATCAAATATAAAATGAATAATTTTTTTTATACAAATAGAGTAATTAATTTTATTAAAAAAATCAAAATTATAATGAATTTCGTCAATTAAATACATAATTAAAATATTTTTCTATAATTGTTGACACAATAAACTAGTCATTCGAGATCATATAAGGATCATACAAAGAAAATATTAAAAGTCATTCAAAAAAAACTCGAACACAAGACATATATAAACAAAGTTGATTGCAAACAAAACACAACAGAAGATTAAAATATTGTAAGACTATCGACAATCACAAATCATAATCGAGCATAATGAGAAAATCATCTACAAATGTAAATCGTATATCCAAGTCCAATTTGATGATCCAAAGTAGAGAAGATCAATAACAAATAAGTGTCATTTTGATCAGTTGACATAACATCAAATCTAACCCTAGAAAATTAAACGAAAGAAAACGGTCAAATAACTAAAAATATGTCATAAAGGTAGATGAAAATGTTTCATAAAAATATAGGAAAACATATCATAAAGGCATAATTATTAGAAATTAAAAAAATATACAATATAAAAAATAAATAAAATAATAAATATATGCAGTTGAGACCAACATTAAAATTGATACCACCGTCTATCAAACAAAATGAAAAAGAAAAAAAATACCTTTAAAATTTAAAGTTTAGAGAGAAAAAGAAGTGGTTGACCCTAAAACTAACATTACAGGAATAAATTTATACATATTAGATAATAGTCTAAATCAAATCGCAATTAGTATTTGCTAAATTAGTTTACTATTTGATTAATTTAATCAACCAACAGAGGAAATCATTTCGTTTTAACCACAACTTATTTTAATTCCTTCAATATGTTCTGATAAAATTAATTTTATTTTTAATAATCTAATTACTTAAATAACCATAGGTGATGTACACATGTATAAAATTTCCAATGGTAAAAACAACTAAAAATACATTTTTACTTTGTACATTTCTTTGAGACATAATGCAATAAAATAACCCTAATATTTAACAGTAGTGTCAAATTTGTCTGTGTTGTTTCTTTTGGAATATTTGACCACTGAACGTTTAGTTTTGGGTCAAAAACAACCACCGGTGGATGGAACTGATGGTCAAAGCCAGATTCTGACATAGCACACACACGTGTAGGGAGAAGTTAACGTGGATGTCCAACTCATGGTGATCGATGATGTGGCACTCCCACACCATTTTTAAAAAATAAAATTTGTTATTTTTAATTATTTATTTCTAATCAAATAGTGATACGTGTCACTCTGATTGGTTGTTTAATGGAACTATGAAAATGTGAAATGCATGGGAGGGGACTTAAACTCGAGTCTAAGGGATGAAATGTGATTCACTTTGCCACCAAACTAAGCTGGTTACTTGGTTACTTAAAGAACCAAAATATATTTAATAGATGATTAAGTTTGAATTTAATGAAAAAATTTAAAATACGTGCTGCGTTTCCCCTTCTATTTTCTCACAATCTGAATTCCCCATACTCGATTATACCCAGAGAATTAGGGTTTAGGCATAATTTAATCAATGTTTGTCAGGAATAGAGAGGATTCGAGGAACTTTCACAGTATTTTCCTAATCTTTTCTTTGGGCATTTACACTAATTCCATACATAAAACGTACCAACAAGAAATATTAAAATACTACATCCTCTACCACTATTCTACAATCGGATTTGTATTTAAAGGATTCATTTTCATCTTACTTTTCAACAACCAAAGTATGAGTTAACAATGATAAAGGTGTTGTTATTTGCAAATTTCTTTGCTCAAAAGGCCTTTTCCGAAGGTATAAATGTTTCTTACTATTAACTTGTAAAAAAATCAGTACCCTCATCTTCTTTACTCCATATCACTAATGATTTTCATTATTCTAATCTGATTCATAAGACTGGACGAGGATAGACTGTGGATCAGACACAAGCTATAAAGATGCCAATGGAGATACTTGGAATTCCGATGATGATTACATTAAAGCAGGTGACAATAAACAGGTTGCTCCGAGCAGTTCTTCCAAAGTCGAGCAACTGAATACGTTACGCGTCTTCTTCAAACAAAACAAGATCTGTTACACTTTGCCTACTCCATCATCAACCCGATATCTCGTGAGGGCTATGTTCTGGTATGGCAACTATGATGGCCTTTCCAAGCCAAGGGATATGGCTTGGTTCAATAGTTATCGCTACGATTATGGAGCCAACGATAGGATTCTTGGGTAAGAAGATAACCAAATTTCATACTACTACAACTATAGACCTTGAAACAATGACTTGCATAATGTATCCTATACATATATCAGGTATCCTGATGATCCATTCAACCGCATTTGGGAGCCTCAGATTCCACCTGGCCTAGAGTCGGTAACTGCGAATTTCACTTCCATCGATGTTACATCTGTTAATGACCCTCCCGATTCTGCAATAATTACTGCAGTTGAGGCTCAAAGTTCATCGGATACTATTCACTTGAGTTTTAGTTTTGGCAATATAAGCCACCTAGATCATGTGGAAATGTACTTCACTGAGCCATTCCTGCAAACTAGTGAGACTAGATCCTTCAAAGTACTCTTGAACAAAAGTTACGTTAACACTACCAACCCAGAATACCAGAAGTGTGTCAGCATCGGGGCAAATTCCCTGTCTGTCGGCACTTTGAATGTTCAGCTTGTACCAACCAGCGATTCTACATTATCACCAATAATAAGTGCCATAGAAGTTTACACTGTTAGCGAACCTCTTGTCACTGCAACAACATCACAAAATGACTGTAAGACTCTTTTCACACTAAATATTTTACTCCCAAGTCAATGTAGTATGTATTTGTCGGGTTTAACTTGAAGGAAATGTTTGTTAAGAAGTGGATGGATTAGGAGAATTTGTCCACAACTTTGAACAACTGAAGGGATGGAACGGGGAACCATGTTTACCGAATGACACCATCTGGCAGCGGCTGAACTGCAGCACTGATTATCAACCTCCAAGAGTAACTGCAATGTATACACAAATCTTGACAGTTCCATTTTTACTTTTAATGTTTCTTGCCTAGCAAGAAAGTTACTTGCGTAAAAACCCAAAATGCTACACTTTCTTGCAACAAACTTCTCTTACACCATTGACATCCGTAAACCAACTTTAATGTCATCAAATAATGCTAAGCAAAAAAACGTTTCCATGTGTTGCAGATATCTTTCTGGATACAGTCTGCAAGGTTATCTCCCGGATTCAGTACCTAAGTATCATTTTTATTCCGTTTTAATATGTAACTTCATTTTTTTTTTAAAATCATACCTAACATTTATTTTTTTGTTCATTTTAGTACCCCACAATTATAAACTTAACGGAACTGGCATTTTTATGAGTAAATTACAACATTCATCACTCAACTATCTTCTCACTCCTATTTTGGTCATTTAAGTTTATTTTTTTAAATTTAATCAGTTAACTTTCAAATTAATCCTATTTTAATCACTCTAACTTATTTTATTAATATTTTTTATGGTGTGACATCTTTTAATTATTATTTTATTAATATATGATTGAAAAAAAAGAAAAAGAAGTGACTAGTTAGGGAGGCCGATAAGAGTGAGACCGTCAGGGTTAGGTAAGCGATTTGTGGTATAATTTATTGGGTTTGTGTATAATTTTAAATTTTTTATTTCAATTATGTATTAATAAAATAATAATAAAAAATGTCATGACACAAAAATATTAATAAAAATAAATTAGAGCGATTAAAATAAGAATAACTTGAAAATTGAGTGGTTAAATTAAAAAAAATTAAACTTTAATGATAAAAATAGGAGTGTGAATATAGTTGAGTGATGAATCATATAATTTACCCATAAAAGATAATTTTGTTAGGCTTTTTAACCGGTACTAAAATAAAACAAAAAGTTAACATTGAGATGGTAAAATAAAATAAAAAATAAAATTTAGGTAAAGCAATGAAAGTTTAGGTACTAAAATATAACAAATGTGATAGTTTAGATACTAAACATGCAGTTTACCCTAAATATTGGATCCACTGCTTGTTAGTTTTTAAGGTTAATAATATTTTCTGTTTTTTCTCTTCTTGAATTAGAGATCAGCATAATAACAGACTTGATGGGGACATTCTAGATTTTCTTGGAACGCTGCCTAACCTACGTATACTATCAGTAACATGCTCCAATCCGAAGCGTGTAAAAGTATTCATACTCTAAAACTTGAAACTAAATCATCTTTCTTGCTTTCCTTGTATATATTCACAGTGATCTCCGAGATAATAATTTTTCTGGCTATGTTCCACGAACAATAACTGATAACAAGCAACTCGAATTCAAGTAAGAATGGCAGGGAAACTGGCGAGCTCATCTTCAAGCATTACTTTTTTGTTTAAGTGTCGAAAATTTACGTTTGTTCATGGTTAATGTCCGGGCAGGATTGATGGGAATAAGAATATCAAGTACCCCAAAAACAAAAAAGCTGAGACAATAGTTGCAAACTGTCGTCGTTTCGATTGTGTTGTTCGGGATTATTGTATGCTGCTGTTGTAAATGCTGTGAAGAATCAACACAAGAAGAAGCTCCTCGGATTTACACGGTTGTTCGAATATTGAGGAGAAATTAACCAATATTTCGAGGAGTGCAATCATGCAATTTCCCCCCCCCCCCTAAAGGCTGTATTTGCCGATTTGCAAAAGAAATAAATGCAAACTTTGATGATATAATAAAGCTAGTATTGGTTTGTATTTTTTACCGCGAACAACGTTTACTAAGCACTAAGGACGGACGCAAGATTTTATGTTGGGAAAACTTAAGGGAATGAACATAAACCATAACATTTGAAAGAGGAGATTATTAAAATATATATATATATATGAGAAAGCAAATGAACCATAATTGTTCAATTTTTGTAAATAGAATCGCTGAGATTGCTTTGTATACATGGTATTGTCATGAAATTGTTCTTTCTGGTGCAAATCCATTGCATAGTCAGCATTACCACCTGTCGGCCAAGAACATAATGATTTTAACCACAATAGCAGTATATATATTTGCAAAATAGTTATTAATTGCAATAATAAGACTCTCATATAAATTAAGTAAACAGCTAATAATGCTAGAATATTATTTTTTTATCTACCTATTTTATGATAATATTATATAATATATATTTAATACGTTTTAATTTGTAAAACAATGTTTAGAGACTATAAAGGATGAACATGTAACCAACCATACAATCTACCTATATAATTCAAAAGATTATCATATGTCAAGGCGAACAAAAAATCTTCTGCCCTTTTGATGTCCCTTTTGGTGCCATCCAATAATATATTGACACTTGGATTGAACTATTAATTCATTTAATATATTTCGAACGTTAAGATATTTACCGTTAAGCATAAAAAGGAATCTTCTGCAGTTAAAAAACGGCAATTAATAAACTCACCCTCTTAACCTTACTAAACTCACCCCTTTTGTTTACTCTTTCTATTTCTCCTTTTGTTTTACTCGGGGCTTAATTATTTCTTGTGAAAATGGTTGCCGTTGCAGTTCTCGCAGAAAAATACTTGAGAAATAAACTCTTTTTGGTGAGTGCTTTTAGTGTTGTTTTTCTTTCAAGCTGAACTCAATTATTTTTGTTGTAGATTTTCTCCATTTTTGGAATGCTTCTTTTCCTAAAATGGGTTGTTTGATTATGGACTTCTTATTACAGGCAGGGGTGAAGCATAGTGAGGGCCCAAAGGGGCCCCAGCCCCTGTTAAATTTTATATTTAATATAATTTTGATCTAATAGTATTTTGTTTAATATAAAAATAAATATTTAAATTTAGAAAATATTTAATCAAGTAGGACCGAACTAAAGAATGATAACCCCGTGTTCTCAAAATTTTTGGTCTAATAACTATTTAGGTCATTTTAAGTCTTAATATTACACAAATTAAGTGTTATCTTGTGAATCTTGAGTTTTTTTATTTTTTATTTTAATAAATCTAGAGTGAATACAAGATAATATATGTACGAAGACTCTCAACTATTTAACAATGAATGTTCATACCCCCACATGGGCAGTTATCGAACTTGAGACCTCAAGGATAACAACAATACCTTAACCACTAAGGTTGCTTTGTTCATGCTGAATTTTGATTTTAAATACTTAATAAGTCTTTATATATATTTTTAAATAGTTCATGCCCAATGGTGTTTCTTGTACTAAAATCTAATGGTTTTCGTGAAATGAGTTCTTTGATTTTAGTTTTTTTTTTGTACATGCATGGATTTCTCCCTCTCTCCCCTTTTATTTTGTTGATTTGCATTTAGTTTTTGGTTTAAGTGGCTTTCTGAAATATTGATGAACTTTATTTTGTGAATTGGGCGCATTTTCTTTGTTACTGTTAACATGATTTTAATCGAATATGAGATTGGAGGAAGAGTTCTCTCACTGCGGCAATTATGAAGAAGAGGAACAACCCGAAACAATGTCGCAATGTTCCACCAGAGGTTTGCAACAACAACAACAACAACAAATGATTGTTTTTGTCGTTTACGCCCTTACCTCTAAAAAGATTTGGAGTTTTTTTTATACCCAAATTTCAAGGTTTAGTCAGGAGGGGATATTGTTTGTTGCGATTGATAAAATTACGTCTCTTTTAGATCAAGGTCCTTTTGATATTTTATTGTACAAGTTGACTTCGGGCTGTGTTCCCAATTTTTTTTAACTATACCAGGCCGTTGACTTTATTTATATTTAGGTAGAAATCTGTTGTTTTGATTAATTACGAAACTAATGCATATCATTTATATTTATGTTGGTAGGGTAATCCAGCTTTTGACTTTTTGATTTTAAATTTCAAATATTGTACCGAGTTCAAACCAAATCTCAAAGGCAAAGAAGTGTTGCAAAATATTGAAAAATAGTGTTGTAGTATTATAATCTAAAAATTTTGTTTCAATAATAAAGTTTAAAAAATGTGAAATTAAAACAGAACTTGTAATAGGATGGAACTGAATAAATAGAAGAAGAGTTTTGTTGAGGCCTGAATGAATAGTTTTCTTAAGAAAGATTCGTCCTCTCCTTGGTGCTTTGAGTAACATTAGACGTCGGTCTCCCAGGATACAACAACAAACGTTCACAACAGTAAGCACAACCGTAGTGAACAATCAAACACAATCTTTGTCTTTATCTATCACCGGAAAATGACTTTGAAAGAATCAGAGAATTGAAAGGAAAGTACTTGAAAGAAATTAGTAAAAAGTTGTTTGTTGAGATGTGTCACAACTTAGCCATTATATATGGAGAGGAATTTGTATTGAAAGGTTAAGACCTTTATTTAAAGGTTAAGACCTTTAAATGAAATGACTTAACCATTTGATTAAAAATCTTAACCTTTTGATCAAAAGGTTAAAATGAAAAGATACAACTTTTGGGGTGAAATGAAATAATTATTTTTCATGAAAAGACTTAATTATTTTTCATGAATAGTCATGATCAATTCATTCAATATTTTCCAACAATCCCCCACATGAATGAATTTGATTGTTTAAAACATTGACTCGATGTGGTGATAGATTCTATGTTCAATATTTCCACAGGATATGTAGGCGTCCCCCTTTGAACCTTCCATTGTGAAAATATGTTTACCTTAATAGCTGTTCAGTAGACGTGATGTCCTTGAACTGTCCTGCCGTTTTTGTAAGCGATGACATACCTCACACAAATATCTTACTGACAAGAGTTTGGTTCTCATGAGTATGTCCATATAGCCGTGGACATCTCCTGGTTCTGTAAGAGCTTAGAGAACTATTCCCCAATAGTCTCTTTGAAGCGACTCCACTTCACTCTCACATAGGTGACTTATGTTGTTCGGTTCAACGAAACACATATTGGTCATTAAAAGCATTGCTTAACCTTATCCATATTTTAGCCACTGTTTTCATCATAGGAATGGGCTTGGTGATAAAAACCCCCCACAGTGACCTCACCAGGTCTATGCAAGTAGGTTGTCCCATTAAACCTAGATCTTGGGATCTCCAGTCAACTAGGTTGGGGTTTCCTTCACATAGAGCCTTAACAATTCATGGGCTTTAGTCCCATTCCTCTTGATGTTTTATCAACTTGATCTCTATTGATCCCTTTGGTTAGTGGATCCACAATGTTATCTTTTAATCTTACAAAATCAATAGAAATAACTCCATTTGATATCAATTGTCTAATATTATTGTGTCAGCGTCGCATATGTCTTGACTTACCATTATACATTACATTTTGTTCTCTACCAATTGTTGCTTGGTTATCACAATATATACATATTTTGGGTACATGCTTTGGCCATTTAGGAATGTCCTCCAAACAATTTCGTAACCATTCTGCTTCTTCTCCAGTTTTGTCCAAGGCTACAAACTCAGATTCCATTGTGGATCTGGTTATAATTGTTTGTCTTGAGGATTTCCATGACACATGTCCTCCTCCCAAAGTGAAAATATAACCACTTGTGTCTTTGGTATCTTCTATATTAGATATCCAACTAGCATCAAAGAATCCTTCTAACACAGCAGGATCTCTAGAATAATGCAATCCATAGTTTCGAGTATATCTGAGATATCTCAATACCCTTATAATTGCTTTCCAGTGTTTCTCCCCTGGATTGCTTGTAAATCTGCTTAAACTGCTTACAGTGAAAGCAATATCAGGTCTAGTGCAACTCATAAGGTACATTAGACTACCTATGATCCTTGCATATTCCACTTGATTAACACTTTCACCATTATTTTTAGATAGATGTTGACTTGTATCCATCAGAGTTTTGGCTACACTAGAATCATCCTTGCCAAAATTTTCAAGAATCTTGTCTACATAGTGTGACTGAGTCAATATGAGACCTTCAGATGACCTTTCGATTTGGATGCCCAAAATCATGTCAGCAAGTCTTATGTCTTTCATGTCAAATTTTGAATTTAACATATTTTTGGTAAGTTTTATCATTTCATTGTTACTTCCAATAATGAGTATGTCGTCAACATATAGGCATAGAATTACATATTCATCAACAGTGATTTTGACATACACACAGTTGTCACACTCATTTATTTTAAATCCATTTGATATCATAACACTATCAAACTTTTCATGCCATTGCTTTGGTTCTTGCTTAAGTCCATATAATTACTTTACCAACTTACATACTTTCTTTTCTTATCCTGGAGCTACATAACCCTTAGGTTTTTCTATATAAATTTCCTCATCAAGGTCTCCATTAAGAAAAGCGGTTTTAACATCCATTTGATGTACTTCTAAATTTCGTAAAGCGGCAATTGCATGTATCATTCTTATAGAAGTTATTCTTGATACGGGTGAATATGTATCAAAGTAATCAAGAGCTTCCTTTTGTCGGTACCCTTTAATAACCAATCTGGCCTTGTACTTATCAATTGTTCCATCTGTATTCATTTTTTGTTTGAAAATTCA